GTCTGCGTGTTGACGCACTGCTTGCTCACCGGCTTACGGACCGGCTACGTTTGCGTTTACCTACTGGAAAGATGATTACTACTTACTGACTCATACGGGATACAACACAGCGGAAACTTGATTCTGGCCTATGGAATACTGCGGAACCCAAACGTTCCATATCGGCCGCTGTTCACGTTGCCGAACGACGTACACCTTAGGGGATATCGTTTCAAGTTGTTGCTTTCAAGTGGCCACTGGAATGCCGGTATCAATCTTTTGCATTCAGAGTGTGTACCTGTGTACTTGTATCAGCCTTCCATCTCACCTCGTTTGTGCACCAACTATTGAATATTCCCAGCGGCGACTCTATGAAACACTGACTCATCCCACGTTCCTACACAACTAAAAAAACGCAAATTTGATGAAGATTACATTATCTGTTATCTTATAGCCGGAACCTTATGTGGAATTTTATTATTTGTTTCTCCAAGAAACAATTCAACTGTGTAAATATTCTATGGGGACGAAAAAGCATGAGCATGTAAGTAATTCAAACTATTAAACTTTGACTTTGATTTTAGGAATCTCAAAGACTAGAAGCTCAGACTGATTTTCAAGCACGCGATCACCCAGGAGCACGTAAACGTTCAGACAAATTGAATATTTCAACTGTAGCATTGGAATTCATATTCGAATTTGCTCTAATGCTGAAAGAAAATGAATATGGCGTGCTGTTAAAGTTTTGTTCAATCATTTCAATTACGAATTTCAATGAGGCTGGTATAGATCAAACCCATTTGTAATGGTCGCAAGAACGTGCTTATGCATACCGGTCTGGTTTTCGGTTCTTGTTTTATTCGCATAACTGGGGTGAAACAGAAACAGACCTACTTTTGTGAGCCATGCAAGTGAAACTGCAAGTATGTGGTTGCTAACCCTTCCACTTCGTAGTATACTCTTTTATCTGGGGATGCTATGGATTTGTTTTTTTTCACCTCAGTGAAATACACAGTAATTTATGAATGAGGTGGGCTAAAATTTGTGCATAAATGGTTTAAAAGGTGGATGTTTAAATGGTAGACTAAATTTGTATACAAAATTCACCTGCGCATATTGAGTGCACCGTACTACTATACTACGCTTTAAGCGGAGATATTCTATAAATAAAAGTAGTCTCCCCTTTAATATTTAACAAGGATATAACAAAGAATCAGTTTATAGAAGAGTGATCATGTATTGGGATGATTTGATTCATTAAGTAACTCATTTGTGCAATACTAGTGTACATCTGTCGCAAAAACACTGATATACTTTTTCCAAACTACCTGAGAGAATGAGACATGTGGGAACCAAATTGTGAACGCGTGCCAGTGATCGAGCCCGGTTGCAATCAAGTCAGTGTTTGCATGCACGGACTCGGTCTGCGGAATTTTTGTGAAATTCTCATCCCAGATACTTCATTTCTATTGGTTGCACAGTTCTGATTTAAGCGGCAGATTTATCACCATATTGCAGTCAAATCTCTGTCGGGGTTGCAGGAAAACTCTCAATTTGATTGTGGTTGGTATTGCCTGCTTGAATTTGTGTTTATCATCTTGGATCTATTTGACCCATATCGTAGAAATTTATGCACCAAAGATTTGTGGACGTAATTTCCCGTAAAGCAGGCCTTTTGATTTTCTATATATGATAATCTTTAATCTTAAACAGCGGCTCAAAAGAACTGATCAACCTGAAATGCTTTCCCTAAATATGCCGGCTGAATGAGTTTTTTCCCAGGGTAGTGAATCTACAATTGCTCAAAAACGTATTGGGTGTTTGTAGCTCCAAAATGTCATTAATTAACTGCTTGTGTCAACCAAATTGAGCAAAATGTTTGAAAAACAAATAAAAATAAATTGCAACCAGCGTACAGACACTTTAGAAAGGTCAGATCACAAACGTTAAGGAATTGCACCTGTCTGAGAATGTTTAAGAGAACGTTTGACATGGGGGGTGGGCAATTCTGTTTACAGTTTTTTTTATCTCGCACGACGTCCACCAATTATGATTCAATTTATCCGGTTTTTCAATCAAAAACAATGTATCCTTTTTAATAGCATATTTCCATTTCTGAATGGGAATATTTCCCTCTCCGTTAATTGCTCCTAATTCGAACTGTAGTATAAATTGTCTCCAATTGCTGATACATATACGTCCACGTTATTCCCTTTACTACGCAGATTCATTATGTGTTCTGTGGCCTACATCGCGTTCATCTTATCCATGGGCTTGATTGTGAACAGTCTGTCAATCGGTAAGTTCTTTTTTTACAAACACGAACGCGTTTCCCAATGGTCATTTGTTATCAGAACTC